GAGTGAGTGAGTCTAGTTGTACGCCGCACACAGCATTGTATATGCTGGCGTTCTGTAAATAATCGAGTCTGGACCAGACAATCCTGTAATGAACAGCATGACCATCGAGCTACACAATTGGGATACGATGACATGTGTCAAACAAGTCAGCGAGCCTGACCACCCGATCCCGTTGGTCGCCTCTTACGACAAGCATGGGTTCCTGAAGATCAATTCTAACCCGGATCTTCACGGGTAAGCAACACCTATTTAAGGGTGAGGTCCGTCTGCATGCATCTCGTCACGGGTATGGTTATAAGACATACTGAAAACTCTCGACCTGAAGATTCTGGAAATGGTGGGGGACGTCATTTGCACAGAGAAAGACTGCGATGCGTGAAGATCCCGGTTAAAATTGACCTTCAGCAACTTCAGGGGTGGACATAACCCATTGCCCGACGCCCGAGTCCAGTGTTTTTTTCTGTCGGGCAAGCAAATTTGTATATCACACTGTACCGGTGTCCAGTTGATATTCCAATGTTAATTATGTTGTTTATTGAAAAAGTCAACAAGAAAAGAGCCGGTATAGTGGAAAAATTGTCAGGGCAAGTGATTTTACATGTGCCACTGTATCGGAGTACACTAGCAATTTTAAAGTTATTTCCACCCCTGGCAACCTCTGTTTATCGAGTGGTCAGGTTCTCTGACTTGGTTTACACATGTCATCGTATCCCCATTGCGTACATAACGATGCACATGATGCCAATCACTGGATTTATAAAAACCCAATCAAACAAAAGACCAAGAGATACGGCGCCTTTCATTTCCGCGTCAGTTTGATCTTGTTACTTTCGAAACTGTAAAAGAAAGATAAAAACCTGAGTTCCCACTTTTGATTTGAAAGCCTATGAAGCTCTTGTCATATTTCGGTATGTTTTACGTGAACCGCAAGGTTATTACTTTCTCACAAAAACAATATGTGGTTTCGTTGGGGTATAGAAGAGTCACCTGAGATCATCGATAAAAAACGGTTTCTTCGACTACGGCTATTACACGCGACTGTTGTCATAAAAGCCCTTCTATTAATAGGGCGATCAGTGCACGGTATTTTCTATTTAAGAACAGTTTTCATGTTGAATTGCTTATGAATAATTTACAAGATAATTAAAACAAAAATATCAAAGCCCCATTCTACAATACATGACCCTCGAGAGCGCGAATCTGTTTCATGTTTACTCGGGAATGATTCTAATCAACTCTGCACTGTTTCTCCCCAAGCGAGAGAGTGAGACTATCGAAATAATTCACACATTTCACGAACTCGACTACAACACATCTGAAGACTAAACACGATAAAACATGATCACATGTTAACCTAATGGCTCGAGAGACCGCACATGTCACTGTGTGGAGAAGAGCTCTTCTACCGGAAGCGATCAATGAGCCGGTTGTCTCCCTTGTGTAAATACTCTAGTCACTTCGATTCAGACGGATATGGTCAGGATTCAGGTTGATAAACTACGACGGCATAAACGACAAGTTAAACTTGGAACGTGATCTGTTCACCGTGAGTTCGTATAATGAGAGCAGATCGATTCTCTCCAAATAAGAGCATATATTTAAAGGAAAGCGGGAGATAATACCGGCATGTTTGTATTGGTACGTTTGCGCATAGTAAATGTGATATCCGGTTAATTTGTGGGAACGGAAACTAGCCATATCGCACAGCTAATGTTTGACGCTTGATTTGATCCCGAAACAGCATCAGAGACAAACTGGTCTTGAAATGACGGAAAAAGTCGGCTGACTCAGAATATCGATGACAATGACCAAGCATAACGTAATTGAAGAATTAATTATCTACTTGCAACAAATGCATATTATAGGGTGGAAAGACGTGAGTTGCTAGTATTATTGTAATAATAATGCTAAAAATAATAAAAAAGATAACAACAAAGCAACGACGACATTGACGACGACGACGACCACGATGATGATGATGATGATATATCCAATTAAAAATCACTTCCCGTTGCGAATCAGATTGACAAGATAGCGTATGCCGGAATGATTTATTCGTTATATTCTGAATTAGCCTGTTATGGGCCAGCAAGTACTGACTATGTCTGCCCCTCCGCCTGTCTAAATGTCAATCAAAGTCACTGTTGTGTGAATTCACTTTCTTTGATAGGATTTCGTTGGAAAACACAAACCCCCTTTGATGATGCAATATTGTTCTTTAACACCTCAAAGGTTACAATCATAGTGCGGAGACCATGCATCTCAGTCCCACATCGTACTATCACTTAGGCTGTGGTGTGTGGGAAGATCAATACGCGACAACTGTAGGTTCCACCAGCTAGTATTGAGTAAACGATCCATTCATATCATTCCCATAGCTATTTAGCCCTTCACGCCCAATGGCATCTGATTCGGTCGGTAATTGAGCCTTGTTTCTCTCTGGCTTTGATGTTATATATTTTCTTCAACGCCACTTTAAACCATGTGTTAGTAATAACACGTCCTGTCCCTAAGGGGGAACATACAGTGCTGGGTCGTACTGACTACATGTGTATTAGCTTGAAGAGATTTCACATTGTGTATTTTGCGGGCTTCTAACTCCTCCAGATCCGTTGCCAAAATCTGATTAAGCAGATATGATATGCATGTATGTATGTATGTTGAATCTCGACTGATTGGTACTGGATGGTGTCCCCCACCGTAATGTTGCTGGAATATTGCTAAAAGCGGCGTAAAACCGAACTCACTCACGGATTGGTACTGAGAAAAATATAGACGTGCCTAGAAAACACATACATTTCCTGTCGGTCTGTGATCAACGTGATCACTGGTACTAAGTTAATTAATCAATTGGTTAGTGTGATGACAATGTGTGTATAGATATGTAGTTAAACATTTCTTTTGATTGTTGAGTCCGTTAAACCTCACTCTTGATCTTTTGGTAGCACGTTTATGAGCATGACTTTTTATTGTGCGAGTGAAGTTTCCAGTTGCAAGAACCACCTTCGGCAGTTCGAGACAAAAGGGTAAATTTGTACTCATTAGGGCTTAATTCGTCTCAACCGAGTTCGAGGCATTGGGGTTCGACTGTTTATATAAAAAGGGATAATATTTGGACTTCAACAAAAAATGACGAAAGGCGTATTCGTTACTAAATGTCAGTTCTCTCATTAGATACATTTCATACTAAAAACAGCGAACGAATTGTTGGTTTTTTTATACTATTATTTATTTTTTTTTAGAATTGTTCATGTTGAACTATTAGAAGAAAACCTGAGGGACTTCTTGATCACGCAAATAAGCCGTACCTGTACATTTAGCGGTGTTAGAAGATCAAAACATGGAAGAGCAGAACAAAGTCTGATCCTTATTTGTATCGATACATCTTATTATTTTCAAAACAACGACGAAAGGATTGTTCATATCTTCAATTTCCCTGTGGGCCAAAATGACCTCTTCATGTCTCTCTCTTACTTCGTGTTGTTACCCATCCGAGCCCTCTTATGTCCCACATCAACACCAGATACAGCTTTAACATTTTCACGTCGTCAGAAGGTGATGTGTTCATTGTCTTATATACAGCCAATTAACTTAATCACTACTTCATAAACTATCTAGGAGTGGATCAATACATCTCTCACTCTATTTGATTTCTCTCTGTAAACAGTGAATCCATTTCATGTTGTTTATATAGTACATATGCACGATATACTTATTCTGGAGTTCTGTTTACACGGCGTATCCATAAAGTGAATGATTGAACGCCTTTACTATTGCGAGTAATAACCTGTTTGTGGTTTGAATGAAATAATACGTTCCAGAAGATGTTCGCCAAAGGTTATATACATCATAAACGTCAGCTAGATTGGTAAGATATGTATTGCAGAGAGTTTCGTTCCTTCCTAGTCAAAGGGATACTCGTGCACGTCTGTGCGTGATCATTTTCCTAACACATTGCGGCGATGAGATGTTTCTTGCTGTACAACATTCACTACAGTCATTGATCTTAGAACCTCAGACGACCACTTCAGTTATTCCCCTTAGACCAATATATGGAGAGTAATTAACTCAACAAGGAACTGACATTACACAAGTCGATCAATATGAATCATTGAAGAAGCAGTTTGCGCGTAGAGAGGCGGGAGAAGTGTATCGTCAGAACCAGTCAGCGACATCTCCCATCTTCCATCTCTCTGATTGGTCGGTTTCTTCCTGTGATGGCTCCAGATCTGGGCAACGTGCGAAGACGAATTGTGTCCTCCGCAACAGCCCATCAAAACTAGTTACTCCTTCGGAGTACATAGTGATTCAGATATTAAACAGTGGCTTGACTACATCGCACTGAACTGAAAGTCACCAACTAGCCTCATGCTTTTAAGTGTTTTGTTTGTTCTTCTAACCAAGTTGCAAAGTTTGTTCTGTGTTCGGACAGCCCGGATACCTTGTCTTAAAGGACTTCAGAAGATGCTATTCCCCTGTAACACTTGGGATTGTGTAATCATATTGTGACCATTTCACTCGTTGCTGTATGGATTAAGGCCGAAAGAAATCATGTGTTGAACGGTTAGCTGATCTCTGGTCAATGAGGCCTCGAGGTACCACAGCCGTTATTCATGATCTGGATCATTTTATACTTTTGTAGCGTGTACATTCGAGACAGGGATTTTATCAACGTCAGGATGTAAATCCTCTCTGAGCTTGTACAGTTCACTTCCGGAACATTTCGGGACGATGATCCACAGAATGTTGCCAGTTCCCCACCTCGACATCACATAATGGCAATAGGATGGAAACATGGCGTCTTTTTACATTTTCTTCTTCTTCTTTACATGAAAAACATTCGCGAGGTTTTTTGCACAGGGGCTAGCTCTCACAAACCTTACGAAGTCCCTTACGTTCTGTCGCCGACCAAACTATCCTCGCTATACACGGACGCTATTGATAAGATCTACTTAAACAAGCCCTCCGGAACACATGAAGCGCATCCTCGTCATCATCGTATGTTCAGTAAAAAGTTTCACAGCGGGAAAATTAAAGATTGGAATATCCAGAAGGAGTTAGCAGCTGACGATGTTTTGTATATTGGTGGTTTGTTTGAATTGAGCGGAGCCACCAACGCTGAGAACGGTCTTTCCGAACTGCGAGCAGCACAGCTTGCCGTGAAACATATCAATGAGTATGGTGTTGTCCCCGGATTCAATTTGGAGCTACTTTATAAAGATACAAAGGTAAGATGGTCAACAAATGATGCTGTTTAAATGTTGATGTTGGTGATGTGGTGTCTCGCCCTAACCTTTGTGTATCCTACTTGGATGATGGAAACCCGTGACTTGTCTATTCTACAGTTGTCATTGTCATTGAAACCCGTGACATATCTATTCACCTCTTATTGTCATGGTCTATTCACCTCTTATTGTCATCCGTGAATTGTGAAGTGTCGTTTCGACATATTTTCTCATCGAAACCAAGATGCATCTATTCGACCTGCAGTGTCCATTCTAGTGCTATGTCATGGAAACCCGTGAAGTGTCTGTTCGACCTATTTTCTCATAGAAATCCGTGACGTGTCTTTTCTTATACCGACACAGAAACCCATTCGCGCGTCGTGTCGGTTATATCGAGGCGCTTCAGTCCGGATTTCCATTGACCTCAATGTCGACTATGACTTTCTGTATCTCGAAATAAAGGCTATTATGGACTTCGAGAAATGTGTCCACTTTATGAGTACGTTTATATCTTATCTTTTGTCTGTAACTTGTATAATAATATATCCTTTATCTAACATTTATCTACCCTTTGTCCATCTATCTGCCGCTCTATTATAATAACACACTACCATGTATCTACCATATATACCCATCCTCAGTATACCACCTATGTTTCGCGGCAGCACAGATATAATCTCACTCAATCACGTCTTTAGTCACTTACAAACGATAAGGAGACAATACTTTCATTTCATCCCTCTCACTATACGGGTTAAATAGACGCGAGACGATCTGAAAGGTCTTGGTAACCAGCATTGTTGTGTTATTCTCCCTTTACGAAGAAATATACGACATGACAGATTCCTCCTACAGCTTACATGAGCTACAAGATGAATGTCAGGTGTGTCTACCACATATTTTAGTAACCAGCGTCCATCTCGGACAATGTGAGAGTAGGACAAATGTAGCTAAATCCATTTTCATTACCAACAGACATGAGCGTATGATCTTTGGACGGGAGGCTATCTATCTTATTTAGTATGAAAGGAAACTGCCATTGCCCTCTTTGTTTAGCTATCAGTGCTAATGTGCCAAATACTGACTAAATGGCCCAGCTTTTTGTCAATTACAAACTGTCTCCCATCCATCACGCATAAAGGTCAATATCTGTAAGGGACGCTCCTTCTCAAGTGGGAACATTGTAACCGAGGTCAGGTGTTCAAGAAGCTTCTGAAAGCAATACCTCGTTCTTAACGGCGATTATGATTGACATGTAAGTCTCGCAGACACAAAGTGTACATGGACATGCTAGGGGATGGTCGTCATCGACGTTAATTATACGTCATGTAAACTTATACTTTGCTCAGAGATTTGCATTAGCATCAGGTAACAGCAACGTCTACAGACTCTCTGGTTGTGCGTGTACTTAGCTCATAACTAACAACGTCATCTCACACGTAGACTGGGTTCTGTCTAGCTCAGTGTCAACGAATTCCAATGATCGGACCAGTTATTGTAGCGTTGACGTCAGTTGCGTGTTTCCGCTTTAACAGATTGGGTTTGCATGGTCATAGAACATAATGACACGTTCTTTGAATGATGATGGGAATGGTACTGATGACGATATTCGTTCATCTCGTCCATGGATATGACGTTGTCAAAGGAATGAGTGCGTGAATATTCCAGCAATATGACAGTGGAGGAAATGGGCTTCACACATTGTAGCCATGTGGGGAATGGAACCCGTGCAAACGGGCGAACACTTTAACCACTAGGCTACTCCACCTCGAAAAGAAGCTACAAGACTGACGAGGAAGTGATGATGTTATTCATTTCTTATTCTATTAATAGTAGATATCAAGCCCCAATGACAAAATATCAGTATTTTATAATAATCACATAAACACCTTTAACACTTTATTATTTGAGTTAAACACCTGATCGAACACTTAATGTATTCCATTTATTTGTCATCATCATTTAGTAAACACTACTTTAATATCACACCTGGACCACCGTTGCAAAGGCATTATCGCTTGAACACAATCATACTATTTCCAATGCTAAATCGTGCACGGTTTTGATAATGTCGTTGGATACAATAAGACTTTTCCCCTTGTTCGTCAGAATTTGGACACCATCACTTCCTCTGCAGTAGGTTTACATCATCACTTCCTCGTCTGTACGCTGACATCATCACTCCATCAGTCGGTCATTTTAACATCACTTCTTCACCAGTCCGTCATTTTTATCATCATCAATTCCACATCAGTATCATCATCATGTTCACCAGTGCACTGACTTCATCATTCCGTCAGTCGGTCATTTTGACATCATCATTTCTTCATCAGTCCGTCATTTTATCATCATCATTCCACATCAGTATGTTTCTTCATCAGTAGAAATCATCCGGCTACGCATTTTCATCATCACATCAATTCCACATCAGTATCATCAGTTGGAAAAGTTAACATCATCACTTACTCGTCAGTACGCTGACATCATCACTAACGTCGTTAGTCGGTCATTTTAACATCATCACCTCGTCAGTCAGTCATGTTTAACATCACTTCTTCATCCAGTCCGTCATTTTATCATCATCAATTCCACATCAGTATGTTGACCATATCACTACCTCATCAGTTGGAAAAGTTAACATCATCACTTCCTCGTCAGTACGCTGACATCATCATTCCGTTAGTCGGTCATTTTAACATCATCACTTCGTCAGTCATCATGTTCATCATCACTTTTCATCAGTCCGTCATTTTATCATCATCCACATCAGTATGTTCACATAATCACTTCCTCGTCTGTACGCTGACATCATCATTCCATCAGTCGGTCATTGTAAAACCGAACTCACTCACGGATTGGTACTGAGAAAAATATAGACGTGCTACTGAGAAAAATATAGAAAACACATACATTTCCTGTCGGTCTGTGATCAACGTGATCACTGGTACTAAGTTAATTAATCAATTGGTTAGTGTGTGATGACAATGTGTGTATAGATATGTAGTTAAACATTTCTTTTTGATTGTTGAGTCCGTTAAACCCTCACTCTTGATCTTTGGTAGCACGTTTATGAGCATGACTTTTTATTGCGCGAGTGAAGTTTCCAGTTGCAAGAACCACCTTCGGCAGTTCGAGACAAAAGGGTAAATTTGTACTCATTAGCGCTTAATTCGTCTCAACCGGGTTCGAGGCATTGGGGTCCGACTGTTTATATAAAAAGGGATAATATTTGGACTTCAGCAAAAAATGACGAAAGGCGTATTCGTTACTAAATGTTAGTTCTCTCATTAGATACGTTTCATACTAAAACAGCGAAAGAATTGTTTGGGGTTTTATTATAATTATTTAAAAAAAAATAGAAATTTGTTCATGTTGAACTATTAGAAGAAAACCTGAGGGACTTCTTGATCACGCAAATAAGCCGTACCTGTACATTTAGCGGTGTTAGAAGATCAAAACATAAAAGAGCAGAACAAAGTCTGATCCTTATTTTGTATCAATACATCTTATTATTTTCAAAACAACGACGAAAGGATTGTTCATATCTTCAATTTCCTGTGGGCCAAAATGACCTCTTTTCATGTCTCTTACTTCGTGTTGTTACCCATCCGAGCCCCTTATGTCCCCCACATCAACACCAGATACAGCTTTAACATTTTCACGTCGTCAGAAGGTGATGTGTTCATTGTCTTATATACAGCCAATTAACTTAATCACTACTTCATAAACTATCTAGGAGTGGATCATCACATCTCTCACTCTATTTGATTTCTCTGTAAACATGTAAATCCATTTCATGTTGTTTATATAGTACATATGCACGATATACTTATTCTGGAGTTCTGTTTACACGGCGTATCCATAAAGTGAATGATTGAACGCCTTTACTATTGCGAGTAATAACCTTTTTGTGGTTTGAATGAAATAATACGTTCCAGAAGATGTTCGCCAAAGGTTATATACATCATAAACGTCAGCTAGATTGGTAAAGATATGTATTGCAGAGAAGTTTCGTTGTTCCTTCCTAGTCAAAGGGATACTCGTGCACGTCTGTGCGTGATCATTTTCCTAACACATTTGCGGCGATGAGATGTTTCTTGCTGTACAACATTCACTACAGTCATTGATCTTAGAACCTCAGACGACCACTTCAGTTATTCCCCTTAGACCAATATATGGAGAGTAATTAACTCAACAAGGAACTGACATTACACAAGTCGATCAATATGAATCATTGAAGAAGCAGTTTGCGCGTAGAGAGGCGGGAGAAGTGTATCGTCAGAACCAGTCAGCGACATCTCCCATCTTCCATCTCTCTGATTGGTCGGTTTCTTCCTGTGATGGCTCCAGATCTGGGCAACGTGCGAAGACGAATTGTGTCCTCCGCAACAGCCCATCAAAACTAGTTACTCCTTCGGAGTACATAGTGATTCAGATATTAAACAGTGGCTTGACTACATCGCACTGAACTGAAAGTCACCAACTAGCCCTCATGCTTTTTAAGTGTTTTGTTTGTTCTTCTAACCAAGTTGCAAAGTTTGTTCTGTGTTCGGACAGCCCGGATACCTTGTCTTAAAGGACTTCAGAAGATGCTATTCCCCTGTAACACTTGGGATTGTGTAATCATATTGTGACCATTTCACTCGTTGCTGTATGGATTAAGGCCGAAAGAAATCATGTGTTGAACGGTTAGCTGATCTCTGGTCAATGAGGGGCCTCGAGGTACCACAGCCGTTATTCATGATCTGGATCATTTTATACTTTTGTAGCGTGTACATTCGAGACAGGGATTTTATCAACGTCAGGATGTAATCCTCTCTGAGCTTGTACAGTTCACTTCCGGAACATTTCGGGACGATGATCCACAGAATGTTGCCAGTTCCCCACCTCGACATCACATAATGGCAATAGGATGGAAACATGGCGTCTTTTTACATTTTCTTCTTCTTCTTTACATGAAAAACATTCGCGAGGTTTTTTGCACAGGGGCTAGCTCTCACAAACCTTACGAAGTCCCTTACGTTCTGTCGCCGACCAAACTATCCTCGCTATACACGGACGCTATTGATAAGATCTACTTAAACAAGCCCTCCGGAACACATGAAGCGCATCCTCGTCATCATCGTATGTTCAGTAAAAAGTTTCACAGCGGGAAAATTAAAGATTGGAATATCCAGAAGGAGTTAGCAGCTGACGATGTTTTGTATATTGGTGGTTTGTTTGAATTGAGCGGAGCCACCAACGCTGAGAACGGTCTTTCCGAACTGCGAGCAGCACAGCTTGCCGTGAAACATATCAATGAGTATGGTGTTGTCCCCGGATTCAATTTGGAGCTACTTTATAAAGATACAAAGGTAAGATGGTCAACAAATGATGCTGTTTAAATGTTGATGTTGGTGATGTGGTGTCTCGCCCTAACCTTTGTGTATCCTACTTGGATGATGGAAACCCGTGACTTGTCTATTCTACAGTTGCCATTGTCATTGAAACCCGTGACATATCTATTCACCTCTTATTGTCATGGAAACCCGTGACTTGTCTATTCACCTCTTATTGTCATTGAAACCCGTGACATATCTATTCACCTCTTATTGTCATGGAAACCCGTGAAGTGTCGTTTCGACATATTTTCTCATCGAAATCCAAGATGCATCTATTCGACCTGCAGTGTCCATTCTAGTGCTATGTCATGGAAACCCGTGAAGTGTCTGTTCGACCTATTTTCTCATAGAAATCCGTGACGTGTCTTTTCTTATACCGACACAGAAACCCATTCGCGCGTCGTGTCGGTTATATCGAGGCGCTTCAGTCCGGATTTCCATTGACCTCAATGTCGACTATGACTTTCTGTATCTCGAAATTAAGGCTATTATGGACTTCGAGAAATGTGTCCACTTTATGAGTACGTTTATATCTTATCTTTTGTCTGTAACTTGTATAATTATATATCCTTTATCTAACATTTATCTACCCTTTGTCCATCTATCTGCCGCTCTATTATAATAACACACTACCATGTATCTACCATATATACCCATCCTCAAGTATACCACCTATGTTTCGCGGCAGCACGATATAAACTCACTCACTCACGTCTTTAGTCACTTACAAACGATAAGGAGACAATACTTTCATTTCATCCCTCTCACTATACGGGTTAAATAGACGCGAGACGATCTGAAAGGTCTTGGTAACCAACATTGTTGTGTTATTCTCCCTTTACGAAGAAATATACGACATGACAGATTCCTCCTACAGCTTACATGAGCTACAAGATGATTGTCAGGTGTGTCTACCACATATTTTAGTAACCAGCGTCCACCTCGGACAATGTGAGAGGAGGACAAATGCAGCTAAATCCATTTTCATTACCAACAGACATGAGCGTATGATCTTTGGACGGGAGGCTATCTATCTTATTTAGTATGAAAGGAAACTGCCATTGCCCTCTTTGTTTAGCTATCAGTGCTAATGTGCCAAATACTAACTAAATGGCCAAGCTTTTTGTCAATTACAAACTGTCTCCCATCCATCACGCATAAAGGTCAATATCTGTAAGCGACGCTCCTTCTCAAGTGGGAACATTGTAACCGAGGTCAGGTGTTCAAGAAGCTTCTGAAAGCAATACCTTGTTCTTAACGGCGATTATGATTGACATGTAAGTCTCGCAGACACAAAGTGTGCATGGACATGCTAGGGGATGGTCGTCATCGACGTTAATTATACGTCATGTAAACTTATACTTTGCTGAGAGATTTGCATTAGCATCAGGTAACAGCAACGTCTACAGACTCTCTGGTGGTGCGTGTACTTAGCTCATAACTAACAACGTCATCTCACACGTAGACTGGGTTCTGTCTAGCTCAGTGTCAGCGAATTCCAATGATCGGACCAGTTATTGTAGCGTTGACGTCAGTTGCGTGTTTCCGCTTTAACAGATTGGGTTGTATACTCATAGAACATAATGACACGTTCTTTGAATGATGATGGGAATGGTACTGATGACGATATTCGTTCATCTCGTCCATGGAAATGACGTTGTCAAAGGAGTGAGTGCGTGAATATTCCAGCAATATCACAGTGGAGGATACCAGAAATGGGATTCACACATTGTAGCCATGTGGGGAATGGAACCCGTGCAAACGGGCGAACGCTTTAACCATTAGGCTACTCCACCTCGAAAAGAAGCTACAAGACTGACGAGGAAGTGATGATGTTATTCATTTCTTATTCTATTAATAATAGATATCACGCCCCAATGACAAAATATCATTATTTTAAAATAATCACATTAACACCTTCATCACTTTATCATTTGAGTTAAACACTTGATCGAACACTTAATGTATTCCTTTTATTTGTCATCAACATTTAGTAAACATTACTTTAATATCACATCTGGACCACCGTTGCAAAAGCATTATCGCTTGAACACAATCATACTATTACCAATGCTAAATCGTCCACGTTTTTGATAATGTCGTTGGATACAAAAAGACTTTTCCCCTTGTTCGTCAGAATTTGGACACCATCACTTCCTGTGCAGTAGGTTTACATCATCACTTCCTCGACCGTACGCTGACATGATCGCTCCATCAGTCGGTCATTTTAACATCATCACTTCTTCACCAGTATGTCATTTTTATAATCATCAATTCCACATCAGTATGTTCACATCATCACTTTCTCACCAGTGCACTGACTTCATCATTCCATCAGTCGGTCATTTTAACATCATCATTTCTTCATCAGTCCGTCATTTTTATCATCATCAATTCCACATCAGTATGTTCACATCCACTTCCTCATCAGTAGTTGACATCATCATTCCATCAGTCGGTCATTTTAACAACATCACTTCATATCATTTTACAATCAACCTCATCAGTTGGAAAAGTTAACATCATCACTTACTCGTCAGTACGCTGACATCATCACTACGTCGTTAGTCGGTCATTTTAACATCATCACTACCTCGTCAGTCAGTCATGTTAACATCATCACTTCTTCATCAGTCCGTCATTTTTATCATCATCAATTCCACATCAGTATGTTGACCATATCACTACCTCATCAGTTGGAAAAGTTAACATCATCACTTACTCGTCAGTACGCTGACATCATCACTACATCGTTAGTCGGTCATTTTAACATCATCACTACCTCGTCAGTCAGTCATGTTAACATCATCACTTCTTCATCAGTCCGTCATTTTTATCATCATCAATTCCACATCAGTATGTTCACATAATCACTTCCTCGTCTGTACGCTGACATCATCATTCCATCAGTCGGTCATTTTAACATCATCACTTCTTCATCAGTCCGTTATTTTTATCATCATCAATTCCACATCAGTATGTTCACATTACACATCGTCATCAGTAGTTGAAATCATCACGGCTACGCTGTATCTTTACGGTAACATCACTAATGCATTTAATTTACCACTTTACAAACAAATAAAAATAAAAACAAATGGCTGTGAATAATTGTTTTCATTAGCTTCTTCATGACACATCACCCTCACCTGTACACATGTACCCCACCCACAAGCCAGATTTTCAGACATGAAACAAAAAAATACTCCCCCACAACACATGAAACGCCCTCACGTCTTCCCTCCTTGTTGGCATAACGTCTCTCTTTGTCTTCCCTCCTCAGCGTCACGTCTCACACTGTTGTCCATACATTGATTTTCACGTATGCCTCTTTATATGTAAACACTAGCTGATAATAGATCCGTTGACTGCTGTATGTTGCGGCGCTGGTACTATATTTAAACACTGATAGACGTCTTAACGATCTCTCCCTGAAGAGAGTTTCTTTCAGAGAGGATTATTTTGAGAGATAATGGTTAGAAAAAGGATTTGTAACTTTTATTCCCAAGTGCTGTTGACTGCAATACACCGTGGGCACTCGTATCTAATTCTTCGTATTCTATAAGGATATATATAAGTTGTGAAAATATACTTACTGTGCGAAAAATGTGACAGCGATTTGTCAAAATTGCGCGATTAAAACATTCGAATTATTTAGCCAGCAGAACAAACTAAATTGTTATATCTCACATGAGAAGGTTGGATATTAAATACCGATTATATTGAACGGATAAACAGCACTGCTTTTTGGGAGTGGAAGGCAAATACGGAGTTTTTCTTGCCCCAAAGTTATCACTGACGACAGAACTCACAAAGTAAAGAATACAGCATAACGTTGACATCATTACTACCTCATCTGTCGGTCATTTTCAACATCATCACTTCCTCATCTGTCGGTCATTATAACATCATCACTTCCTCATCTGTCGGTCATTATAACATCATCACTTCCTCATCTGTCGGTCATTATAACATCATCACTTCCTCATCTGTCGGTCATTATAACATCATTACTACCTCATCTGTCGGTCATTATAACATCATCATTATCTGTCGGTCATTATAACATCATTACTTCCTCATCTGTCGGTCATTATAACATCATCACTTCCTCATCTGTCGGTCATTATAACATCATCACTTCCTCATCTGTCGGTCATTATAACATCATCACTTACTCATCTTCCTCATCTGTCCGGTCATTATAACATCATTCACCACCTCCCCGTCAGTTCGCCGACATATCCTTCCTCATCTGTCGGTCATTTTATAACATCATCACATTCCTCCATCTGTCGGTCATTTTAACATCACCACCTCCCCGTCAGTTCTGACATCATCACTTCCTCATCCGGTTACATCATCACTCCTCCGTCAGTTCGCCGACATCATCACTTCCTCATCTGTCGGTCATTTTAACATCACCACCTCCCCGTTAGTTCGCTGACATCATCACTGCATCGTTAGTCGGTTATTTTACTTTATTTTTACCGTGTTAATTTTAAGCTATATCGTATGAATGAGTCATGAATCCTGAGTTGCTTCGGTTTACGTATGTTTGGGAAGATTGACGGGTCCGTACTATCGAGATGTCGCTATAGGTGGTCTGCACCACCTACAGGTAGTTCCAATCACAACCAGCTGTTGTGTATATTGTGTGAGGATGTGCGCGACGTCAGTCACTGAGCAGGACGTCGGAAATGACACCCACAGTCATCGTGAGGTCAGCGTCACACCAAGGTCACGGTAACTTGTGACGTCGTGTGCATGTGTTAACTTTATCTGAGCTATGGAGATAAGCCGTTTTGCTTATGATACAGGATTTTCAGAAATTGTTATAAAACGAGTGTAATTGTCTTAAACCGAACTTTAAGAACTTTCTTTTTCACTTTTGTTTCAAAGCAACCCAGGAAAATGTCATGTATTACTAGCGAAAGGACCCCGTTCGGGTTTCAGTGTAGAACAGGTCCCCA